GGGAAGGAAAATGGAACTGAAGAGAATGTTTTGGACCACACTTTCAAACCAAAAAATCATGTCTTCGACGTGCAGCTGTGCAATTCTGTGCTTCACTAACAGGAGTGCGTGGAAGTGGCGCCAATGTACGATCAGCGATGCTATGTTGCGTGTGCTCAGCTAGACGAAGAAAGGATTATAGCATTCGGTGGTTACAACAACTACGATCGACTGCGAACAGCTGAAATTTTTCACATACCAACAAACCAGTGGCACCGAGTTGCTGAAATGAGCTCTAGAAGGTTGGATTTTAAGGAGAGATGTTGCTGCGGCTGCCAACTTCTGCTCCTCGGCCACTAAGGCCTCACTTTCAGCTTTTCGTCCCTTTCCACTGGCGGCCGTCTAACGCACTGCATTAATGGGTCTTATAAATAATTTAGTTTTAAACCATTGCTGCTGCCTGCCATCCTCAAGTTCCACATGGTAGGTCGTGCGGCTCGAGTTGATTTCCCCTTGCAACCTCAGTTTGCTCTGTGCACAATCAAGATCCCTATCCTCCGGTCTTTTTCATTTGTAAATTATAGAAGTGATGGTCACTGTGTGAAAGTGAATAATTTTGTATACGCCATTGGCGGCTTCGACGGAGTAAACTGTCACTCTACAGTGGAGTATTATGACATGCGCAGTGACCGATGGTGGACGCTTGCAAAAAACATGACAAGCCGAGTGGCTAACTTCTTTCATTTTTCAAACAAACTAGCAAGAAGCCCATTTTCAAAATTTTCCAAATGTCACCTTTTACCAAAAAAAACCCTGTTCAGTTAGCTTCAGTCTCTCGCAGTTTTTTTTTTTTTGCTTGTTCATCTTCACGAGCATGTTCAGTTGAATATTCAGGGTTTTAGAAAGTGCTGGTAATTAAGTTTTGAGAGAACTGTTTGTTTGTAGCGCTCTGGCGTCGGTGCAGCTAACATGGAACGAGTGATTATTGTGTGTGGAGGTTTCGATGGTACCAGTCGTCTGCAGTCGTGCGAATTCCTCGACGAGAGGGAAGGAAAATGGCACGTGCTAAAGTCCATGAATCGACCACGGTTCGCACATTCCGTTTGTGCACACAGTGCTCGCCACTGCAAAAACTAAGTGCGCGAAACTCAACTTAGAGAGAGAGAGAGAGAGAGAGAGAGATAGTATACCAACATTTGCAGTTCGAATTTCGGGATTGAAGTTCTGGGCAATGAAGTGGTGGTAGCAGGCGGCTACGGCGGTATCGTCGGTACGATTGATGACACCGAAGCATATGACTTCCGAGCCAATGCATGGAAGGAACTACCGAAAATGGGGCTGCGCAGATCGGCCGTTTACCTCACGAAGATCGAATATCATGACATTATCGAAGCATTCGTACGGCCAAAACCTCTTAACTACTAACTTCAAGGATACAAAGACGGTAAAATCTGTGATGGAAAGCAAAGGAAATTTGAAAAAGTGAAAATTTTGCGAAAAAAAAAATTGAGGCTTCCAAACATGCATGAAAGTGAAATGTAATGAACATGTAATAAAGCTGTACGCTCTCGCAGCGAGAATTTTGCTGTTTATTAAACGAGGTGCACTTTGATTAGAGCTCCTGAAAATGATCCGAGCGGAGTGATCGGCAGTTGCAGCTGTGCCGCTGTACTGTTCCGTGATCCTTGAACCGACGGCATACACCCCTTCTAACTGACTCACTTTTCGAGATCCTTTACGTGAATCCTGCTGTTGCAGAATTCCTGTCCAAGCTCTCTGCCCTCTTATTATTACTGGAGCGGAAAAGAAAGCACATCGCTCCCACATTTCCCACGGGCTCTACGGAGACCCATCGCGTATCCGAACTTTTTACAAATTTTGATATTTCGACAATTACTAAACCTCGGCTCGGCCACCTTTATGAAGCGCCTTAGCTTCTCTGGTAACACGCTTGGCAATTTGCCAACGGGTGCTGGGTAGTGTTGCTCAGTACTGAGTGGCTAGATCGTGCGGTTAAGGAGGGGAATTTAGGATTGATTTGAGCCTCCGAGCCTTCACGGTTACCCAGTTAGCGATTTTCCCGCCAGAAATTTCTACGGCTCAGTACGTGACGCAAAAAAAAAAAAAAATTATGGGTGGAACTACTTTATCCGTTTTCAGTTTTGCCTAAGCGTAAACTTCATAAATGGGAAAATCTCTTGCTGATGGCGAGTTTTCCTGTTGCTTCTACTTTTTTTTTTTTGCTTTTACTCATAGCTTTGCTTTTTTTTGAGTTTTCTTTTATTCCTGCGCCTAGGTTTGCTTTAGTTTACTTTTTTTGTAGTGCTTTGTTTTCTCTTTCTCAATGCTGCTCCCTGCAGTTACTGCCTCGAGTTCCTGACTTGTGCCCTCGTTTCCCTTCTTTACTATCCTGAACCTGCAAAATAACATCTGAGATTCTGTCCATCCCCACTAAGAGCACTCTGAAAGCAAACAGTACCTCAGCCCTTCCCCTACCCCGGTATCTGCGGCAAAAACCAAGAGCACACTTCCCCCTCCTTTCCGCCCATCAACTCCTCCCCTCTCCATTACATGGCCTGGCCCCACCTGCAGCATCCAGAGTGCTTTGTCGTACTGGGGTAAAGATACTCGAAAAAACCGTGTGCAGCGGCGGCCAAGCCAAGGCAATTTTTAATAACTGCCTTATTTAGCCATGGTGGCGAGCATAGCGAAGTGGCAAGATGCGCTACAGCTATGCTCAAAGTGGAGGATCCCGTCCCGCCACCCGAGCAATCAGTGCCCTGGACGGTTCGTCGATTCGCTTCGGTGGTAAATTGCTGCTGGAACATCATGGCGAGAGATGGAGCCCGCTAATCAGCCTGCTTCCAAGTACCCCTTCAAAGGAGGGACTTGGTTGCTGCCACTCCCCAGTGCCTCCTCTTCTGCGAGGGAGTTTTCACATTCCCCTGATAACTAGCAACTGTTGCTACGCTTTAAAAAATTCTGTGGCACTGAGTGCAGTGCCCCCTCCCTCGGTTGCCGCCTTGCCAAGGCGAGCAATGCGCGGAAGGCTGTGCTGTGCTGCGGATCGCATACGACAAACCGTAAGCTGTCAGCAGGCGCCTGCCAGGGCAGCTTCTCACAATTACCACGTGACTGCAGTGATATGCCAGCAGCTACAGCGCAACCGGTAGCCGCCGGGCTGTCCCGAAGCACGGGCAGCAGTTCTCACTCGACGCACCGCGGTGTCACTACATTGAAGCAGTGTCTGGGGGCTGCTAGTCCGTTCGCCGACGAGGAGCGGTGCCATCTCGAATCCTGCTGCTGCTGGAGCAGGTTGCGGTCGGTGCGAGCCCTGAATCTCGTGCGGCAGTGGGCGCCGGCGGGCAAGGCGGTGTGTGTGTGTG